TCCATTTCTCAGTATCTTATTTTGAGAACTCCATCCCCTTCTTATCCGAGATGCTAATGATTCCACATAGCCACACATAATCACCACGCCCCAGTCTTCACCTTGTCCTTTATCCTAGAAATGTCTGACAACACTCACCATTCTTAGAAAAAACTTCCTGGCTTGAGTTCTTGATGATATTGCCTTCTGGTAATTTACTGCCCACTTAACTGGCTTTTAAATAACTCTTCTGTGCAAGATCCCTCTCTCTAATCTCTCTCTAGGTGATATCCCCAAGACTATGGCTTTAAACAGAATCCAAAGGCAGTGGATTCTGAAATGTCTATATTCAGCTACGACTTCCTCTAAGGGCCCCAGATTCATATATGCAAAAGCTCAGTTGGATATTTCCACTTGGATCCCTAAAAATACCTCAAATGGCTGGAAACAAATTCTTCATTTCCCTTGAAAAGCTTTTCCCTACGTCTACCCATCCTAGAACATGGCTTTCCCATCTACCTAGTATCTTCACCACGCATCCTGGTGATCATTTTGACCTTTTCTTTCCATCATCCTTACCCCTTAACCACTTCATTAGCAAGTCCTCTTAGCTCTTCCCTCAAATATTTTCTGAAGAAATATACTTCTCTTCTGGACTACGGTTCCCACTCTAGTCTATGCCCTTGTCCTCTCCATTCTCCTGAAATAGCCTTCTGTCTACTCTAGTCAGCACACAACCCACTGTATGTATTCAAGGAAGCAGAGAGATCTCTGCAGAAAGATCATTTCGTTAGATATGAATGCTTTCATCACACAGAAATAATGCTTGAGGTGATAGGTGGATATGCTAAATTTCCTGATTTGATCATTACACAATATACAGTTGTCCTTCGGTTTCTGGAAAGAACTGGTTCCTAGACCTCATGCATATACCAAAATCCATAGATGTTCAAGCCCCTTACAGAAAAGGGCACAGCATTTTCATAGAACCTATGCATACCCTGTAGTGTACTTGAACTCATTTCTAGATTACTTATAATGCCTAATAGAATATGAATGCTATGACAATAGTTGTTATACTACAGTGTTTAGGGACAATGTGTGTTAGTCAGCTATTTTGTAGCTATGACAAAATACCTGACGAAAACAACTTAGAGGAGGAGAGATTCATTTTTGTTTACAGTTTCAGAAGTTTCAGTCTATGGTCACTTGACTCTTATTCCTGGCCCTGTGATGAGACAGAACCTCATGTGGGAGTGTAGCAGTACAAAGCTGCTCACCTCATGGCAGTCAAAAAGAAAAGAGTGGGACAGTCAGGGACAAGATACAGCCCTCAAGGGACATACCCAAGGACCCACTCCCTTCAACTAGGTGTTATCTCCAACAGTTTTTATCACTGGATGAGGTCACAACCCTCAGAACCAATCAATTCCTAAAAGCTTCACCTCTGAACATTGCTGCATTGGGATGCAAGCCTTCAATAGATGAGCCTTAGGGGACATTCCTGATCCAAACCACAGCATAATGACAAGAAAAATAAGTCTGTCCATGTTCAATACAGATGCAGTTTGTTTTCAAATATTTTGATTCACAGTTGGTTAATTATGAGGGTGCAGAACCCACCAATACAGAAGGCCAACTGTATACATATTGAACATCAAATAGTTGTACATGTCTTTGTACCCTAAAGACATGTACAATTATTGTCTGCCAATAAAAAATAAAATAAAACTCTAAAAAATAGTCACCCTCCACCCCTGGAGAATTATTTTACTCTTTCACATATTTTCCGTAACAACACTGAGACTTATAGAACCGTTTATTTGTTTAATTATTTATATCCCTGGAATGTAATTTTCATGATAGCAGAGATCCCAGTATATTTTATTAATCTACTTTATCCACAGTGCTTAGGGGAATATTCAAGTTCATAGAATACTCAATAAAGTATTTCTTAAAAAATGTTTGACAGGTTGTACCTAAAGCACAGTGTTTTTGTGTTTCCTCATTTCACCCAGGATAAAATCAAAAGCCAACATATTTTTTTATGACTTTCAAAGCCTCCATGACCTGACCCTATTACTATCCCTCCCTCCCTTCTCCAGACCTTACCTCTCCCTTTGTCTGAGCCAGATACACAAATTTCTTGCTGTCCCTGGAAGGTGCCAGGCAACCCCTGCTTCCTATCCTTTAGTCTGGAATGTTCTTCTTCTCCCATCCACAGGGATCACTCTCTTCCTTGTTCAGATCAATACTAAAATACAAGTTCAGCGGGGCTTGCCCTGGGCACCTGATCTACCATTCCCACACTCCTTGCCTTCTGACAGTGACAGTTGATGCGTGCCTGTCTTTCTTTAGTCTCTTTCCTTAGCACCTTTCTCTAATGCACCATCAATTTAATTGCTCATCTTATTCATTTTTTATCTCCCATGGAAAGGTAAGCTCCATAGGGTTAGGGAATGTTGTCTGTTTTGTCCACTTTTGTCCCACATGGAATCCAGAATAGTGCTTGTTGACACTATTAATAAATACGTGTTGAATAAAAGGACAATCAACTTAATATAGTTTTTTCTCAGTATATTGAGCAGTTGTTTGGTTAAAAAGACTGAACTTATTGAAGAGTTCTTTTCACCATTTGTTAAGCAGAGTGCTCTTCACATCACTGATCATCTAGCCTGCCATTTAAAGAGGACTGGGGAATAAAGGCTAATATTTGGAGAGCATGAATAATTATTGTGAAGGACCTGAAACAAACGAGGTTAGAGTCTCAACTCCGTATGTAGAGTTTGAAATAGACTTGTTATGCTCAATGATGTTGATGCTTCCTGTGTCTACAGAATAAACTTGAGCCCCACATATTCCTACTAATGAATAAAAAATCATCCCCCTTCAGCAGCCATCTTTTAGAAAGTGACTTACTCTCCATCGGAAACATCTGTCTTGTCCTGTTTCTATTGTAATTGTTTTCCTGCATCTCAACATTACAATTACTTGCTTCAGAGCTGAACTGTTGGCTAAACAGCTTTGATGAGTTGACTCAAGAAACTGAATTAATCATGACACAAACTTTATGTGAATAGTTGATCTACATTTCATGCTCTACTGTCCAGAGAGACCAGAAACCTAACCAAAATGTCCAAGAAGGAGGATGGGAAAAGAGCCGATTTCTGTTCTGAACCACTTGAGGGTTTGGGACAGTGGGGGTTAGGGACAATATTCACATTCCTAGAAGAGCAGATAACTAATGAGCAGCGAGTCTGAAAGTGGAAGGAAGTTCTAGTACAGGGTGGTACACCAAGGAGATGAGATGACTTTCCTAGTGTTACCTTCCCATCAGGTCAAATGTGACTGCTCAGAAATGACCCATGAGAAAGGAGAGTTGTGGTTTGCTTGCATTTGACAGATCCCCTTTATTCCTTCTTGGCCACTATGAGAACAGGCTTATCCGGTTTCATCTGAAATGTTTTGTTTTCCTTTCAAAACAGTGATGTTAACATTGTACAGGAGTCCACAGTTGATTCTTAAGCAGAAAAGCCTCATTAATATTAAACTACCAGTCAAGATCACCCTTTTTGGTCATCCGTAAGGCATCTCCTCTTGCCTTCAAGAGTGGCTGAACTCATCTGGGCAGGGGATTATGCTAGGAAATATGGAAAAAAAAACTATCTGGGGGGTGTGGCAGTGTGGCACAAGAGAAGTTTGACTCTCATTTTGTTTATGTCTAAATGAGCCACATAATTGCTTTACTATTGTATGCAATAAATCATCCCTAATTCAGATCATTTAAGGGAATATTTAAAAAATTTCAAGTACTTGAGCATCTTTTGGCTTTGTATTTTAAAAAATTTGTTCTTTTTAGATATACACAACAGTACAGTGTATTTTGACATATTATAAACACATGGAGTATAACTTAATATGACTTTCATTTTATAACTATAATGTGGACTTCATAGTAGCTTGAAAATGCAGTAAGCTTGCATACCTGAGTATGTCACCATAGCAAAGTCCACCTCTTCTGTTACTTTTTGAAGTTCATAACTATAAACTATTTATGTTCTATACATATCATCTTATGAACAAGTGTAAATATATATAAATATTTGGAAATGTAGATGTCAACATTTATAGCTTTCAAATTTTGTTGCATACAACTTTGAAACTACATGCTATTTATTTAGAATGAAGACCATTTTAAAACTACTGAAATCCTATATCCTTACTTTTTGGTCTGGACTCCCAAAGATGCTGCTAAGCACTTTACAGGTGTGACAGCTCTAACCAGTTATAACCCAAAACATAGCTTTTCCAAAGAAGGGAGTCTGTGCTTAGAACCCACCTGCTTCAATAGTCTTTGGGGGCTTAACTAGGTAATGTACCAGGTGGGAAAATCTTGGAAGCTAGTTTATTGTGACCATCTGAAGGGACACACACACACACACACACACACACACACACACTGGCACCCATGTATGCACATCATAGTACATGTAACACGTAGATCAGAATTCAAAAGTAACAGCCAAACATTGAAACACAGAAATCATTCCTGATTTCTCTATGGCTGATTCACCCTAGGAAGTGGGAAAAAAAAAAATCTTTGTCCTCTCACTTGCCAGACTGGCCTCACTAAGTCACTTCTTCCCAACGAAGCTCTAAACACACCATCATCATCATCCTTATCCTGATTAATCGGTATTCTGTTTTTTAGAGACAGAGGGGAGGGAATTGGCATGACCCGTGTGCCTGGACCCCGGGTTTTGGTTTTCTGTCCTAACCAGCTGTCGGGTAGGCAAAGAGCAAAACAAAGAGCCACCCGGAGTTGGCCGGGGCTTCCGCGGCGCGCGGTGCCCGGGTCTCAGTCTGCAGCTGCGCTCGCTCCGCAGACGCCGGGCTCAGCCTCGGGGCCTGCGCTCCCCTCCGCGTCGCCGTCCCCCGGGGATCGGGCACCCGCAGCCGCCGAATACCCAGAGTGGGTGGGGACGCATTCCAGCCGCCGCTGCCCTCCTGCCCCAACTCACCAGCCTGCGAAGTTTCAGCGCCGAGGAGGCTGGTGTCAGATTTCAGCGACGTCTCTTTCCCGTCCCCAGCCGCGGGACCGGCCACCAAGCACGATCTGCTTCACCGGGCGACGGGCATAGGAAAGGCTCCTTCTTTTTCCAACCTGTGGCTCGGGATAGGTCCAAAGCCAGGCGGTCCCCAGCCCCTGCCAGTCGGGACTGCAAGTGGCAGGTCTGGTAGCACCACCCCTGGGAGTCCTCCGAGGCCACTGGATCAGGAAGGTTTGTGTGAGAAGAAGGCGTGTCTCCGAGTCCTAACGCGGATGTGCCCGGCTCACCTCAGGCAGATCTTGCCAGTGACTCAACCGCTGCAATAAGAAACGCATTTGGCTCCTGGTTAAATTCTCCGCACTGTGGGCTCCAAGCCCGAGCGGCGAGCTCATTTTTATTCATTATTTTTCTCTGATCTATTCAAAGAGCCCCTGGCACCTTGAGAGAACCGCTCGCTTGGAGTGTTTCTCTCCTCCGAGGGGTGTCTACAAATACAGAGAGAGCCAGGGATGGGGGTGGGGGACAGAGGAAGGCCTCAGGGAAGTAAAAGGGGATTGGAAAGAAATTGCTTTTTAAAAGTTAGAATGTGTGCACACGAATACATTGGTTTCACCAACCTAATCCTTGCTTCCTAAAATCAGTGCAGAAATCAATAAGTTACTATTAAAATAATGAGCACATACGGTCATTGAGCAAATATTTACTAAGTACCTACTACGTGGTAGGTCCTGTTCTGAACACTACAGGTTTATCCACAAAGCAAAGATCCTGGCTAGTCTGCTGGGGACTGCATTTTGGACATAACTCTGATTTCCCTAATTTTCAGACTCATGGTAAAAGTAAGACCACAAGGTTGCATATCTGTAATTTTGATGGCTTTATTCCTCTGAGAAGAAAATAAAAATATTCCAAACCTATTGTTTGCATTTTTATTAGTAAGCAATGAGATAATTGTTGAAATTTAAATTGCTTAACTGTTCTGACTGGGTGATTTGGGGACTTAATGCTGTTAGTTGGGAAGCATGTTCCCCAGAATTTCTTGTGGAAGGGACAAAGGAACAGCCTCAAACCAAAGCCTATACAATCGGTAGTGAAATAGTGGAAAACCAGAGAAAATGTTCCTTCCCGCAGAAGGTTCTCAACTCTGTTAGAAACCTATGGAAGCTGTTCTATTTTTTGGACTGCGTTTGTCTTGCAAATGGGGAATACAATGAGTAACCCAGTTCATATCAGTAAGATGACTGTGAAAGTGCTTGACACAAGTTCTACAGATATTTGTCTAGGCTTATTGCTGTAGCAGTACCTAATCTACTCCAGTCTTCCATGGCATGATGCCATCTATAAAAACTGTTTTGAATTTGCTAGGAGAAATTATAGAAAGTTTAGTTTGTATATTTTCAAAATACATATGTTAGAAATCTAATGTTACGATAAATTCATTGTGCTTTCCATCAACAATATGTATATATAGAACAAGTATGTATCCACACACCCCAATGGAGATAAAAGAAAAAACATATAACCTTGATTTTATTCTTCTGTGAATGCATTGATTTAAAATGACTGTGTTCACAATATTATTTCACATTCTTATTCAGTTAATGTGTTCACTAGCTGCATTAATCCTAATAGTTATTTCTTGTATGCAATAGAGTTCATAAAGCCTTGCCCATGGATCATCTCATTTGACTTTTACAACATTGCTCAGAAATAGGCAAGGCCTCTGTTATATTTATTGTCCCCATTTTAAGAATGAAGAAACTGAGGTTGAGGAAGTTCTAATAGCTTTCCCAGAATCACGAAGGTCGGTAAAGGTAGAATGTGGGTCTCCTTATTCTAAATGTAGGGCTCATGTGATCACTATATTTTGCTGCCTCCTTAGTACTTCTGGAAAAGTCCCTGCCATGAGCAAATCTAACACACACATTTATTATCTGCTCTCCGTCTCACCCTCCCTGCAGATAAGTGTGTCACCTGCCTGGTAAGGCTGGCTCTTGCAGGGACAGTTCTGGTGGAGTGACTTGTCACATATAGTACTGTCTTTCTTGTTCTGAGAGCCCTTAGTGTAACATAGTGTCATCACTGGAGAATGGCAGAATATTTCCTTCCCTGTGGGAAGAGGGAGGCCCAGGACAAGGTGGTAGAGGACAAGAGAGAAATATTATTTTGTCATTTCACAAAAGTTACTTTGACTAGAGGTAGAGCAGAATCAGAAACTCTGAATGTTTGTAAATACAAGGGGATGCATCCCATGTCTTGGTAATAATAAAATAAAAATTTCCTGTACCTGGAGTTTATGTAGCACAAATTAAATTGATGTAATTTCTGTCTAATTCAATAAAACAGCTCTGAGGTACGCAGATATATAAATATACTTAGGAGACTTCTAGTGAAAAATGGCCGGTCAATCACATTTAATTACCCTTTCCTCAAACTCATTTAATACACACACAAAATGAAAATTTAAAAATGTTTTTATACCACAGTGAAAAATAAAAGGGAGAAGAGCCATGACAGTTAAAATAAATTACAGTGAATATTTTGAAGAATTTAAATCAGTTGGATGCTTGGTACCTGATCAAGCACAGATTACATACAATGTGTCCACAGAAGGGGTATCAGCAAGAAGCAAGACACTTCTCCTGGCAAAACCCAGCTGCAGAAATATGGCACAGAGAGGGCCAAGTGATGGGGTAAATAAAAGGATTCAGTTAGATGTCTGTTTCCAGAATGCTTGGACCCAGAGTTCCCTTCCCCACTGCCATGCAATCAACCAACAATAATTAATTCCTTTATCTGCTTAGTTCAGCCTCCAGGAGTTTGGAGCTTCAAAAATTGACAATATACTGAAAGTTTTACTCATGTGTAGATGGGATAGAAAATTAAGTTGTAACAAGTTTAGGAAATTAAAATTAAAGGTTATGTAAAAAAAAAAAGTGGAGAGGGAAAAATTGACTAACAGCAATACCAGAAAGTTCTAGAAAAGAGTTCTTTTTATGCAGAAAGGAATGGGAAATTAACTAAAAAAAATAATGCTTTTAAAATTTCAGAAGTAAAGATCATGAACTTTAGGGATCAAAACCTCCACTAAAAGTCCAGGTGAATACATTTCAACTTAAATAGTTAATTAGTAAAACCACCAAGATACATCATTCTGCAATAATAAGAACCCCAAAATACAAAATAAGAACCTAAAAGTCTTCCAGAAACACAGAGTAGAAATTACATTGGATTTCTCAAGATCAATAATGGATCCAGAAGTTTGTTTGAATGCCTCTTCATCTTTAAAATGAAATTATTTTGAGCCTAGAATCATATTCCCAGACATACTGTCACCCGTGTGAATAAGACATTTATACATGCAAGGACTCAAAAAATGTTCTTCCTGTGTGCCATTTTTGAGGAAGAGTCCCTTTCCCACCCCCCAAAAAAACTTATAAATTGAGAAAGAAAAAGAGTTGAAAATAAATAAATGCCAGTCCAACATTGGAGACAGAAAAGGGAATTTTTCAGAACAATGGCAGTGAATCAGTCCTAAAGAGAAGCAGGAGGATGACTTGCAGTGGGAATGTCTCTGAGAAAGATAGAAAATGATTATTTGGTATTCCTGTGCATTTGAAATTTATCAATAATTTTTTTTTTTTTTTTGTAATGGTGGAAACTGGCAGCACTCACCAGATTCCATGTTCTCTTTTTCCTCCACACCCCAGTAGATTTCATTTTTGAGTGCCTTGCAGGTGGAGGGCACCCAGCTGAGTTCTATCCAACAAACTAGAACAGACTGTGGGCAGAGGTGTGGAACATCACTTCCAGGCCACGCCCAAAAAATGGCTCCAGAGATCCTCCATGCTTTCTCCCTTTCCTTATGAGATGCAGAGAAGAGAAGCAATGAAGAGCTCTAAGACCCTAGGGAATGTAAAAGCTGCTGAGTGGAAAAAAAAAAATTGTGGCTCTTAATGATTGTATCCATAGAAATCCCAGCTGCCACCTGTTGAACTATGGCTTGAACAAGAAATAAACTTGCATAAAATCTCCAAGATTTCTGGGGTGGTTACAGCAATTAGACTATTCTGTCACAATTTGAAAGATAATTTGGAGGCAATTTGGAATAATTTACTGTTGGTAAAACGTATGCTAAATAAATTCTCAAAGGACATTATGAACTCCAGGAAAAACAAAACATTGTGAGAGAAAAATAAATATGATAGAACACGGCTTCGTTCAGACGTGGATATAATCAGAATAATGAGAAGACTGACAAAATGGTTGACTATAAACTGCCATAAAACTATGTGAAGACGGTACCTATGTATACATAAGACAACTAAATCCTCAATGATGATAATATAAAGTAAATAACTAATGTGCAAGATTGCTAAATAAAAAATAGCAGGACAAGCAAACCACTTAGAAATACATAAGAACAATAAGAAACCACTAAATGAGTCAAATGTTTGCCTGTGGAAATTGAGACCAGAGCTTAGGAGACCAGCTTGAGTCACTTTAGAATAACTTTAAAACAACATCCTATTTAATTTTGAGCTATGAAATGTATTACCTAAATAAAAATAAAATGAATGTAAGTACCTTTAAAATATACATATGGAAACAAAACATGTTTGCTCCAGAGACATAACATTACATTTTATTATTATTAAAAGTATCTGCTTCAAGTTATATAATAACCTACAAGCAGTGAAGAAAGTGAATTTAGGGTGCAGAATGAAGACAGATTTGACAGATTTGCACAGTGATTTATCCATTCAGCAAACATTTTGCCTGGTTCTCTGCTAGGCATGAAGGATACAGTAGAGAACCGAAGGAAGAATAAAAGGGCTGAAGACAGAGATGAGTTTTTTAAAACTTTGAACAACAAATGCATTTGATTTTTTTCTTTCTTGTCCTTGGCAACATGAACCACTGCCTTTTTGGTCCTGATAGTGCCTTTTATCCTCCAAAGCCTCTTAAAGATTGCTCTTGACTTGACCCCTACACTGATGAGATCAGAAATTTCCAAACTAACCCACCTCTTGCCCAGGATTGCAGGGAAAGCAGGCTTGGCACAGGTGTGTCTCCACCACCTGCTGATTGCCAGTTCTGTGAAGTCTGTCTAATCGCAGACACAGATCAACCTCTCCCTGGTCTGAGGAAAGCCCACATCATGACTAACAGGTCTTAAGACTGGACTTCCGGGCCATGCCAGTTCTACCACTTTCAAGGATGGAATTTCAAGAAATAGGTGTGCTTAAGCAAATTACCTCAAATGTGAAGCAAGTTAAGATTTATTTTAGACGTGTTTTTCCCACTGGAATTATTCTTACAATTGTACACAGAACATCTCCCCAATTGTGAGGTCATAACCTATCCACCTCTAAACCTCATTTCATCTCATTGTCTTAGAAGGTGAAATGAAAATACATGTGGACTTGATATGGA